ATGTGGTCAACCCATTTTTACTCCTAGCCAGCCGAGAACACTAGCAAAGCCTGCAATCTTAATCACACATAGTAAAGGTAAAGGACCCCTGACCATTAGGTCCAGTCATGACTGACTCTGGGGTTGCGGCGCTCATCTCGCTTTATTGGCCTAGGGAGCCGGCGTACAGCTTCCGGGTCATGTGGCCAGCAGGACTAAGCCACTTCTGGCGAACCAGAGCAGCGCACAGAAACGCCGTTTACCTTCCCGCCAGAGCAGTACCTATTTATCTACTTGCACTTTGACATGCTTTCGAACTGCTAGGTTGGCAGGAGCAGGGACCGAGCAACAGGAGCTCACCCTGTCGCGGGGATTCGAACTGCTGACCTTCTGATCGGCAAGCCCTAGGCTCTGTGGTTAAACCCACAGCGCCACCCGTAAAGAGCACAGAACTCAGTGGGGATTATTTCTAAGAAGATACACAAATGATTGCATTGTAAAATCCATACACTGAGTAGAACAGGGAGGTGCAGAAGCCCCCCCCCCCCCCCCGCAACTACCACCTCAGGATTGCAAAGTAAGCAGAGACTTTGTACTGGTCATCAGCCTACGACTTTTTCCACCTGCCTTGCCCCACCCTCCAGGCCTAGGAGCCCTTTCCAAACCATTACTTGGAGAACAGCAGAAGCAGCTGGGAAGAGAGGAGTTCGGGGATATTTTTTAAGAAATATGTTATAAGTTGTGTGTCCTTGTTTCCCAATTTGATCCTTTTATATGGCTTTGTATGTTTGGGATTTTTATGCATTGTGACTTGCTGTTGTTTTTATTGAGTAGTAATTCTTTATTGTAATTGACAAATGTAAACTGTTTATTTGCTGATATTTAATTTTACTATTATATTCTAATGGATTATTGAATATAGCTTTCTTTCATACTAGTTGTCAATTTTAAAGTTATTGTGACTTTGTTGTATTGGATCAGATTGTTATTACATGTGTGATCTTTGTTGTCTATTTTGTTGTTTCTTCAGCTTATAAACCGCCTTGTGTATAGTAATATAGAAAGGCGGTACAGTCATACCTCGGTTCTCCAATGCCCTGGAACTTGTACGTTGCAACTACTGAACGACTGAAAACCGGAAGTGAGTTGTTCCAGTTTTCGAACGTTCTTTTGGAAGGCGAACATCTGACGGTGTGTCCGCATCTTCTGATTGGCTGCAGGAGCTTCCTGCAGCCAATCAGAAGCTGTGCTTTAGAAGTCGAACGTTTCGACTTCCGAGGTACGACTGTATACAAATTAGAAGTGAAATGAAATGAAAGTGTCTATGGCAAGCCAGCCATTTTGGAAGTGTTGGTGGGAGCCTCAAATTTGGGGAAGGAAAAGATATGGATATCAGCAGTCCTTGGCACTTCCTCAATTGAAGGAGATATACACAAAAGTTTAAGAACTTAATGGGCAATTTGAGCTCACTAGGGCAGGAGATAGCAACTTCAGAAGCACTTTTTAACTCCTGACACACCACTGTAGAAGATCCAGTTTTAAGAATGGGGGGGGGACCCTATGTACTGGGCTGCTTCACATTTTATATCAGGGTTTGGAGCCTTTGTCCCTACAAATGTTATTGGGTTACAACCCTAATTATGAGAGGTGGTGAGAGTTGGAATCCAACATCATCTAGAGGGCCAAAGGTTCCCTATCCCTACTTTATATAATGACCAGATTGGCTGCAGCCACATAATGCAGCAAGTATTGAAGTCAAAAGCATGGTTCTAGATAGGCGGCAGACACATACACTAGGGACCACAAGCAATCTAGGTTCTTCAGAACAAATCCCCAAGGATTTCAGATGGACTGTGCCCGTCGCGTTTATCATAGGAAGCACCAATGCAACTAATTGTTGCAAACAGCAGTCTTTAGCCCTTGCATAACAAAGCAAGCATGGAGAAATTCTACTGCGCAACAGTATAATTTTCACAATACATCACCAATGAGGAATCAAAAACTAGAGGGGAAAGGACTCAGGAGGTTGGCAACTCTAGAGATGTCATGTTGGCCTTTTAAAATAAACATGGAAATAAATGATTAATCCCCTGCTCTGGGATAGTCTGAAAGGAACTTTTCATGTGACAATCATCCCAGGGAACATTCCAGACCTTCCCCTTCAATGTTCTGTATTTAGTCTGTGAGAGTTAAAAGCTTTACTAATTCAAGATGGATGCCATGTGTCTCACTTCTCAAATGCAGTGTTCCCAGCACGTATCACACATTCCACCTATAAAGAGATTGGAAGCACCCTTGGGTGACATGCTAAACACTGCCCACTTTGGGCACTGCCCACTTTGGGCTTTGGCTGCAGGCACCAGTGGTATGCTATTTCCCCAACTACTTGACTTAATAATAATTAAAAAAATTCTGCCCCTGCATTATGGGAAACTGGCACACCCAGCACTTACTCCTGAGCAGACTGATTTAGGGGAGAAGCAGTCAGGAAGAGAATGACAGATTCTGTCTTATACAATTCCATCCAGTATTAATCCACTTAATGGGAATGTTGATTGCAGTACTCTGGATTCAGCTCTTGGAGTCCCTTAAAAGGGCAGCCAGTTGCCAATTCAGGCCTCAGTCTAAATTGAAATAAGTCCCATTGAACAACATGTGACTCGTGTCACTTCCAGATGACCTGTTAACTGAGCATTCGTCCGATTTGTTTACATGAGGTTTACAGGCAGGTATTTGTGGGTGAACTGTGAGTTTCTTTGAGCCCTGGGTGACAACCAAGGTGGATATGTGAAGCCTTGTATGAGAGCCAGGAGGCTGAAAGGGGAGGTGTATCGAAAAAGGTGTATATTGCTTATTTTGGAAATTTGAATTGATGTAATATTTTTATGTGCAACTATGTGGTTTTTTTGGTGTGTGTTTTTTGTGGGACGCGGGTGGCGCTGTGGGTAAAAGCCTCAGCGCCTAGGGCTTGCCGATCGAAAGGTCGGCGGTTCGAATCCCCGCGGCGGGGTGCGCTCCCGCTGCTCGGTCCCAGTGCCTACCAACCTAGCAGTTCAAAAGCACTCTAGAGTGCAAGTAGATAAATAGGGACCGCTCTGGCGGGAAGGTAAACGGCGTTTCCGTGTGCTGCGCTGGCTTGCCAGGTGCAGCTTTGTCACGCTGGCCACGTGACCCGGAAGTGTCTCCGGACAGCGCTGGCCCCCGGCCTCTTGAGTGAGATGGGCGCACAACCCTAGAGTCTGTCAAGACTGGCCCGTACGGGCAGGGGTACCTTTACCTTTATGTGTTTTTGTAATTTGTTATATGTTGTTCAGTTGCTTGTTTACTTTAGTTTTTTTGTACCACACACACACACACATATCACAGTACAGTGGTACCTCGGGTTACATACGCTTCAGGTTACCTATGCTTCAGGTTACAGACTCCGCTAACCCAGAAACAGTGCTTCAGGTTAAGAACTTTGCTTCAGGATAAGAACAGAAATTGTGCTTAGGCGGTGCGGCGGCAGCAGGAGGCCCCATTAGCTAAAGTGGTGCTTCAGGTTAGGAACAGTTTCAGGTTAAGAACGGACCTCGGGAATGAATTAAGTACTTAACCTGAGGTACCACTGTATAGAAATGGTTTCAATAAGTAAATCAAACTGAGCATTTGTTCCGATTTGTTTTGGAAAGGCTGGACAATACTACCTCAAGCAATTGTTATCCCACTCTTTCAATTGCATGTTGCCATCACTTTTTTCATCAAAAAATTCTGGTTTTTAAGGGGTAGCAGGATGCAGAGGTTTTTTTTTATTCAAGAGCATCAAATCAGTTGTCGTTGCACAACCAGGCCTTTGGCTGATTAATATTCTACAGCCTTTTAATATGTCCCTGTGGGAAAGGAGGGTATTGGTTCACTGTTTTAATTTACTTGTGTTTCTATATAATATTTTATTCTGTGAACCACCCAGAGATTTTGAAGGGTGGTATATAACAGATTAAATAAAAACAAATAAAATTTGCCAGTATGTGATTGACTCTCATCCCGAAACAGCAACACTCCAGAAGCACCCTTACTTTTTTTTTTACTTTTTTTTAAAGGATGCTTACTGCACTGCTGGTGAAATTTTATTTAGAAATATATTGAGAAATAGGTAGATGGGACAGAATAATAATAATAATAAATTGTATTTATATCCTGCCCTCCCCAGCCGAAGCCGGGCTCACTATTTGGATATGCTGACATAAGCATCAAAAGATTCTCCGGAATCTCTTCATTTTGACCTCCAGATGAGGCTATATGTATCCAGAAGAGGATGAGAAACCAGAAAATATTGGTCTGCCAAAGACTATCCTGTGCAGTCACAGGTGGCTAGACAGCGATAGGCAAGAAATACAGGCCAAATTACATTGCCTGAACCACTCAGCTTGGAGAACGGAGGTTTCCTTCCCTTGGGAAAAGCAGGAGTGACAAACCCGTGGGTCTCGCAGAGTTGTTGAACTGCAGCTCCCATCAGCCTCGGCCAGCATGGCCAATGGCAAAGGATGATGGGATTTGTAGTTCAGCAACATTTGGCGGAGGGGGAAAAGGGGCACAGGCTAGTCACTCCCTTCTGCAGCCTGGGTAGCTTGGCCACTGCATTGTGGTCTTGCCTACGGATACCTGTCCACCTTTGGCAAAGGTTCCTTGGCATAGGGGATAGTCAGAGCTTAATCTCCTTCATTACGCACACGCCCCCCTCCCCCGCGCGCACACATGTGGAATGGCTCCAGTGTGTTTACAAGCGGGGAGCCCCTGTCGCTCTTGATAACCAGCCACGGGGGGGGGGACCCCCACTCTGCACATGCCCAGAGGCCCACATATCCCTCAAGCGCACAAGTCAAGCCTGCGGCCACCAAAGACTCCGGACACCTTGCAATGCTTGGCGACTGCAGCAGAGGCTCCTTGGGGGGTCCCAAGTTTCTTCTTCCCGGTTTCCAGACGCCACAGGGCTCCTGGCGCGCCCTCCTCTGCCGCCCCCCTGCACGAGGACACGGCCGTACCTCTATGTCCACGGGGTCCCGGCTCAGCCAACGTGCCATACTTGCGCCAGCCGCGTTCGCCCTTTCGCCGCCGCCTTCCAGGAATCGTCCAGCTGGCGAAGCGAAAGCGCGACGCGGACCCAGCCCGCCCAGCAACGCCCCCAGTGGGCGGACGCGGCGGAGACCTTCCTCGGCTCTGCCCCTTCGGTTCCGCAGCTGCCTCCTGGCTCCAGCCAATTGGCCTTTTCTGCTGAGCTTGCAGGGAGGAAAACATTCAGACATGGTCTTGCTTTAAAGAAGAGGGTGGGGGGGGGGAATATTGATTACTTAATTGCGCAACCGTGTGCAGCTTGCAACAATGTAGGCAACATACGCAAAAGGGAAGGGAAAACGAAATACTGTAACTAAAATCTAGGTTTTGTAAACTGGTGAGAGAGAGAGCGATGCAAAAGTTACAGTCGCAGGATATCTGACACTAGCATGTAGCATTTAGACAGGCGAACACAGATACGTAAGAATTTGAGCATTTCAGTGATTTGGCTGTGCACATTTTCGTTGACACCTTTTAATTCAAACATTGCCTTTCTAGGATTTTCTGGTGAGGGCGCAGGGCTGGATTAAACCCTGTGGAGGCCCCTAGGCAGTTGAAATCTTGGGGGGGCCCTCACAAATTATCTCCTAATAGTTTTTGTAATTTTCTTTCAAGATGGAATCAATATTATTTTGATCTGTTGTCGGGCAAAAGAAGAACGGATACAGCAACTTAGTAAATATGCAGAAGTGGCGAAACTTACTGGAAAAATAAAAAATCAAGATAACAAATGTTTTATAAAAGAATGGAAATGGCTTACTGAATATTTACAAATAAATTGTAAAAAGATAAGAACATTGGCAGGGTTATTGTAGTAACTTGCAGCTTTATAAGAGTATATATTTAAAGTAGATGAGTAAATTAAGTTAATTTGGATATGCAGAAAATATTAAAAATAAATTTAAGAAACCACAGAAAGAGGGGGGGAGCAAGTCAAGTTTTGAAATGTTAAAATGATTATAAAATTATTGAAATGTATAAAATTGAAAATCATAAAAAAGAACTGTCTGTATTAAATTTGTTGAAAATTATTAAATAAAAAAAAATCGTAGAACTGAAAAGGACTACGAGGGTCACCTAGTTCGACCTCCTTGTGGTCCCTTCAAACTCTACGATTCTCAGTTCTGGTGCCTCATCTCACTTGATGGTGATGGCTGAAAGTTATTATGGGGAATGTGGAAGACTAAGCAGGAACACAACTTCCTTGCAAGTCAAGTACGGTAATTGTTTTGATTGTATTACCTTTACCCTGCTAATGCCACTTCTTCTTAAAAAAAGAAGAAAAGACAACACATCAGAAGAACAAAATTAAATTTTAAAGCTGTGTGTGTGTGGCTAATTTGTTTAGTTTGTTGCTCCTCAGCTACTGCGTGTAAAAATAACATGCCTTAAACCAGTGTTTGCCAACCTTTGTTCTCCAGCTGTTTTCGGACTATTTGTTTAGTCGTTTAGTCGTGTCCGACTCTTCATGACCCCATGGACCAGAGCACGCCAGGCTCCCACAGTCTCCCACAGTTTGGTCAAACTCATGCTGGTAGCTTCATGAACACTGTCCAACCATCTTGTCCTCTGTCGTCGCCTTCTCCTTGTGCCCTCAATCTTTCCCAACACCAGGGTCTTTTCCAGGGAGTCTCCTCTTCTCATGAGGTGGCCGCAGCTTCATGATCTGTCCTTCCAGTGAGCACTCAGGGCTGATTTCCTTCAGAATGGATAGGTTTGATCTTCTTGCAGTCCATGGGACTCTCAAGAGTCTCCTCCAGCACCAGAATTCAAAAGCATCAATTCTTCGGCGATCAGCCTTCTTTATGGTCCAGCTCTCACTTCCATACCTCACTACTGGGAAAACCATAGCTTTAACTATATGGACCTTTGTTGGCAAGGTGATGTCTCTGCTTTTTTTTTTTTTTTTAAGGTGATGTCTCTGCTTTTCCCCCGGACTACAGCTCCCCATCATCCCTGACCACTGGTCTTGCTGGCTATGGTGATGGGAATTGTAGTCCAAACACAGCTGGAGACCCTAGGTTGAGAAACACTGCCTTCAACCATTCTTGCTATGGATGATGGGAGTTGTAGTCCAAAACATCTGGACAGTACTAGGTTGGCTGCCCGTGGTTTGTGCAACAGTGAAGAACCACAGAACAAACTTGCTTCCTGCCTGCCTGCAAGGATTCTCTCACATTTTCCAGGATGGTGACAAAACCTTCAGTTAGGGAGCACGTACTGATCTGCGATAAAAATGTTGGTGGAGGCAAGCTGGCTGAGAATATTACAGTTAAAATTCACTAGCTCTGATTCAAGTTGCAAAAAAATAAAAATAAAAATAAAGTAAAAGGGTTAGATAGGAAATGGCTGAGCATACCAGCACTTTTAATGGGCAATTTGAGAATGGCTGTCAAATTAAATTTGTGCCCTGAGCATCACTTGCTGTTGTAAATATGATTGTGCATCAAAACTGATGGCATTATCACTCAAGCAGCTCTCACAGTATCACAGATGCTTGTTTTTTTTTGCAAACAAGGTTGTAAGCCAAGTGGAAGGCACACAGACACAAAATCCTCCTTTGGCTGTGTTCTTGATATGTGGAAAATAAGAAGGAAAGGAAACATTCCATTCCATTTGCCTGCTTTTAGGAACGCTTGACGTCTCTATTGCTGTCAGATCTGCAGATGGAGGAAGGAATGGCAGAGATTCCTCCTCTTATCCGAATGGAGGACCAACTTAGGATCCAAGCCTCTGCATGTGGGTCTCCTCTCCTACTGAATGGAGATGGTATTTGGATGACCAGCTGAGGCAACGGGGGTCATCACAACTTCCAAAATTGTAGGGTGCATGATGTAAGCTGCCGAAAGCGAAGAATACTTAATGAAAATTTCTGGCTGCAGCTGATCAAGACTGTCTTGTACTGTGAAGACGACAGTTAAATTTGATCTGGACATCTATTTTTGTTTCTGCAAAGCACAACAATATGTTATTGACAGAAGTGCCAGAAATCAGAATCGTATTCAATTATTTGAAGTTACGTTGTTTACAAGTTACATCCAAGGAAAGGGGAAGTTATGAGCATGGCGACTGCTTGCTTCAGAAAGTGGTCTTTAATGGGGTACAGTCATACCTCGAGATGAATACGCTTCGGGTTAGGCAAATTTGGGTTGTGCTCCATAGTGACCCGGAAGTAACAGAGTATGTTACTTCTGGGTTTCGCCCGTGCGCATGCGCAGACCGTCAAAATGATGTCATGCGCATGCGCAGAAGTGCCAAAACGCGACCCGCGCAGACGCACCGTCACGTCTTGCATTCCATTCGGGATGCAAACGGGGCTCTGGAGCGGATCCCGTTCACATCCTGAGGTACCACTGTATAATTAAATATATTCATTCATTCATATTATTTGTATGCTGCTTCCCCACAAAATCATGTTCAAAGTGGCTCACAACTAAGAAAGCATTTCAAACAAACTCTACGATACAATTTCACAATAGCATAGCAAAATAACACCATAGTAACAATTTCGTAATAGCGTAGCAAAACAAAAATACAATGTAGAAAAACCCACATTTCCATACTGTACGTATGACAAGATTACTTGAACAGCATGCAGCGCCCAATAGCAAAAATAAAAAGGGTGATTTGCATTTCACCTTAGTCCTAGAAACACCTGCACCAAGATGTGGCTCACCGTTCCCTCTCTGGCGGCAGCTTCTTGTAAAACTTCCAAGGGCATAGGATGGAGTATCTGGAAATATAATAATAATAATAATAATAATAATAATAATAATGATGATGATGATGATGATGTAGCCACTAATATTTATTTTTAGTTCTAATCAAGTGACTCAGAGAAAACTCTCTCCCCCCCCCGCCGCATACTTCTTACTAGCTTTCTTACTAAATAATTTGCTCTGGACATCTTGTAAACACCCCCCCCCCAAAGAAAATTGGCATGATATGTCACTTCCAGTATGATTATGTGACCAGAACTTCAAACTCTTTTCCAGACACGCAGCCACATTAGGCTTCTGCAGCAAAAATAACCAAGGGTCTTGTGACACCTTCCACATTTATTATGGCATAAGCTTTCGCGGGCTACAGTCCACTTCATCATCAACATAAAAAATGTAACATTAAATAATGGATTGCGACTTGCAGCTGAACATTCACAGAAGAAATATAAATCTTTTATTGTGCGCGAATCCGACTGACTCATGATGGTTTGTCGAAGTCAATTGTTGTTTGTAAATGTCCTCTTCTGCCCATTTTCTTTCTTCGGCTTTGTAACATCATACTGTAATGCACAATTTTTGTAGCACTTAGCTTTCCTTTGAATATTCCTCCCCTCCCATTCCACTGTGGCCTTTGTAAAAGTTCTGCAAATCAATGCTGGTTGGTAGTGCATCAATATTTTTGAATTCTCTGAGATGGTTGGGCAAGATCACATACCCTGTTTGATGTAATATCTCATTAGTGTTTTACAGGGCTGCCAAAACCACTGACATTTGGATTTTGACACAGTATGTGCAAAGACCAATATGTAGGTATAGACTATGTGTTGCTATTTAGCCCCAGACTGGATTTGTGAGTGAGTTTAAAGTATATCATCAGCATTAGTCCCTTCCATTGTGGGTGGGTGGAGGGTACAGTATTAGTTCGAACAGCTGAAAGAGAAACAATAGAAACAAAATTCTAATGATACAAAAATAAATAAATACGTATTTAAAAGCTCAGCATGATTCAAACACATTTTAATGCTCTCAAGTCCATGTCTTAATCTCCAGAACTACAGAGACAACAATATACACCCCTGTTTATATGCTGAGGAAAAGTTGAACTATAAAGCACATAAAAAGAAGAAGAATATGTCTTATTGGAATCTGTGCACTTCCCAAGATGCCTCCACATTTGAAACTGACCATCAAAATAACATGGACAATTTTGCAAAAGCCGGCATTCACAGCTTGTTTTCTTTTTAACAACCCAACAAATTGGGTTGCCAGGGACTTTGTACTGTTACGTGCAGAGGGCTCAAGGCCCTTTGCTCCCTTCTCTCTCTCCCCCCCCCCTTCCTCTGGCACAGGGATGGAGAAAGCAGGAGCATTTGCTTCTCCTCCTGTGTCAAAACAGGGAACTCTTGTTGGTGATATTATTTAGTCTTGTGGCAACTGCAGGTGGTAGCATGGGTTTGTGG